ATGACGGCTTCAGTAACTACTCTTTAAAAAAAACTAAAATAAAAAAATGTAGTTTATATTTTGTTTTGCGCCATATTTACCCTGTCACTCGCAACTTAGGTGGAGGTCACGGCCTGCTCTGAGCCCAGCCCTCAGATCTGTGGCCCTGCCCATTACTATTGGATTGGCTTGGCTGCTCGGCCGATCACGCCAACAAGCCTAGTGTCTCCCTTTTGCGATATCCGGTGCGTCTAGTCTGGAAGTCTAACACGGCCTGCTAGTCGTACGAGCAGACGTGCGGCAGCCTCCGGCATCGTCTGCTATTCCACCATTGTCTATCGTCGTCTGCAATGTCTAAGACGCGGACATGAAAGCTGCGCTACGACGTCCGTTTTCGCCTTCGTCTGTCTACTACTCCGCCCCCGTCTAAAAACTAACGCTCGCAAGACGCGACAATGAAAGCGGCGTTCTATAGCGTTCCATCATGCACGAACCACGGTCCAATACAAGCGTCTGTCAACGTCTGTCAATGTGCGCTAAAAAAAAAAAAAAAATCGACTGAGAGGATTAAACAAATCAACAAAATAAATATGCTCTTTTTTTTCAGCTTTCTGCTCTTGTTTTTCTTTTTCTTTTGCTTTTTTCTCGCGAGCAAGGCACGATGGAGACGGGACTTAAAAATATTCGCTTTGGCTGGCCAGGTACACTGCAAAACTTGAGAACTACTTGCCTTTCGAAGTGAAATGACGGGGTACCTAGACAAAATTGATGCGAGCCGAACGCCCGATTGTCTCCAGCCAAAAGGCTCGCAAATTCTTACGTGTGTAGGTAACGTCTCGATATTGAACACATAATCGCAGCCATGGTGGTTGGACAATTCACAGAGCAGCGGGGCCGTCTTTACGGGAACCAAAATCTTTATTCAGCATCAACACGCGAAGAAAGATCGATCAAAATAGTTGACGTGGGAAGCTAGGCTTAGGCTACGAAAACCAGCATCCGCACGGCGCTTTGTTTGCTGAAAACTACGTCGGTTGGGGAAATCTTCCTCTAAACACCTCTGTGAACGCAAAACGACTCGAACCCATAACACAGACGAGCTCAGCACTCCGCAGACGCGTTGGCACTTGGCAGCCATGTTTGTTAACGTTTCAAACCAAAGCGGAAAAAGCAATTTCGGAATACTTTTGAAAACAATAATGACTTTATCAAAACGACGGCTCATATCAATCATAACTCGGCAAAGTTCACTCATGAGGACCCTCACTCACCCTCATCTTCAGAGGTGAGGTGAGGGTGAGTAAGTGTCTGAACCAGGAAAATTCATGAGTGTGAGGGTGAGCGAGGGCCGTGAAGGCTGTGAGGGCTGTGAGGACCGTGAGTGCGTGAGGGTCGTGAGGGTGGTGAGTGCGTGAGGGGCGTGAGGGCGGTGAGTGGCGTGAGGTCCATGAGTGCGTGAGGGGTGTGAGGGCTGTGAGTGCGCGAGGGCTGTGAGGGCCATGAGTGGCATGAGTGCGTGAGGAGTGTGAGGGCGGTGAGTGCGGGAGGACTGTGAGGGCCATAAGTGCGTGAGGGGCGTGAGGGCGGTGAGTGGCATGAGTGCGTGAGGGGCGTGAAGAGTGTGAGGGCGGTGAGTGCGTGAGTGGTGTGAGGGCCATGAGTGCGCGAGGGCCGTGAGGGCGGTGAGTGCGTGAGGCCCTCTTCAGACGGAGCAACTTTCTCAGCAATTTTGGTGTTGATGGCGGGTTGTTCTCTAGCTTTTCCTAGATCGACACGAATGGCTGAGATCGGGTCCGGCTTGAAACAAGCGAGCAACTCGGAACAATTGGAAGACGTTTGAAGCGGCTGCATCCAATCAGGGACGCGATATTTTCACGTGATATCTTGGGCCGGTGATGATGACAACAAAAGACTTGGTTCTGGTTTGAAAACAATCGTTTTGGGAAATAAACTGTTTCAGAAAGATGCATTAGTACTTTCAACGTAATTTAAATTCATAAAAACACGTTTATAACGCGTAATTGTGTGTCTAAATAGTGGAAGAAAATAAAATTTCATAACGATGATGGCAAATCTCAGCAATTAGTTGCTGCGTGTGAACGCGGGCGGCCCGTGTTGCTGGTGCTGCGACGTCAAGTTTCTGTGCGATATTGCCCCATCTGAAGCGGGCCTTGGCGTGAGGGCCGTGAGTGCATGAGGGGCGTGAGGGGTGTGAGATCCTTGAGTGCGGTGAGTGCGTGAGGGGTGTGAGGGCCATGAGGGGCGTGAGGGCGGTGAGTGGCGTGAGGGCCATGAGTACGTGAGGACGGTGAATGCGTGAGGGCGGTGAGTGGCGTGAGGGCAATGAGTGCGTGAGGGTCGTGAAGGGTGTGAGGGCCGTGAGTGCGTGAGGGGTGTGAGGGCCATGAGTACGTGAGGAGCGCGAGGGCGGTGAGGGGCGTGAGGGCCATGAGTGTGCGAGGACCGTGAGGGCGGTGTGTGGGTGAGGGGCGTGAGGGCCATGAGTGCGTGAGGGCCGTGAGGTTCAGTGAGGGTGAGTGAAGGGCTGAGGGTGAGTGTGACTGTGAGGGTGAGGGTGAGTGAGGGCGACCTAAAACGCCGACCTCTGCATATAATACAAAAGAACGCGGAGTTTCTCCGCAGACATGATGACCAAATTATCTGCGGGCACGCATCCCGAAGCACTGTTCGAAGCCCGTTGACTTCATATGTGCTTTCAAACATGTCTGCAGCAGACAGTGTTTGTGTGACCAGTGTGACACTGACTGTCGTACGAGGAAGAAACACGCCTCAAACAATGTCTGCAGACTGGCTTTTGAATGACTATGAGCAACTTCAACTTCAACTTTAATTGTACAAAAAAAAAAGAAAAATTGATGAAAGTGAAAAAAAAAATGGAAGAACACATAACAAGCTGGTGAGATAACTCCATAATGAAAAAAAAAAAAAAAAGCAACTCGAGACTAGGGCAACCACACAGACACACAGCTTCTCAAACAGCAATGGCGAAAGCAAACGTTGCTTGATGGCATTCACGTATCCAGGGGGGGGGGGGGGGGCATGCCCCCCCCCCCCCCCTTTGAAATCTTCCAATTTGCTGGGACCTCCTTTCCCCCTCCCCCTCATACAGCATTTTGTCATGAGCGCCCGCGCCACCCCCCCCCCCCCCCCCCCCCCCCCTCCCCCCGAAACAAAATCCTGGCTACGTGCCTGCTTGATGGGCTTTTGAAAAGTCGCCATTTGAAAATCCGAAAACGCGTGTGTGGTTGTACATTTTTTTTTTTAATTCTTAGTCTTAGGTTTTTTATTATGAAAGAAAAGAAAATATCACACACTGCAAGCCCGCAGTCCTGTACAACGCGAGATATTAATTAAGTTACTGTAGACAATTTCGCTGTTACATTTTACGCCACTTTGCAATTTTTTTATTATGCAATATTATAAATAGGGCTCCGTGTTTTCGGATAAATTCGAAAAACTCCGAAAAACACCCGCCGGTAAAATTTTTGGCAATTCGGATTTATCCGATAAGCTCCGAATTGTTATGTGCCCATGCCCCCCCGCCCCAAACAACAACAATTTTTTTTTTATTTATTTACTTTTTTTTTTTTTTTTTTTTGGCAGCGCAGACTCAATGGTCCTAGGAAAATTACACCATAATTATCTTTCAAGCCTCGGACTGTTGTCAAAAGGGGGTCTTACGGCTTGTTTCATCAAGGTTGGTTCGGGGAAACAGGTCATCGTACCATTCGTGTAACGACAAAAGCCACTCTTTTGGTTTCCAGTTTGGGCCATGGGATTTCGGATTTATAGAAAGGAGAGTGTATGTTTAGGGGGGTAACAGTGAAAGCTATGGACCATAGAGATTGTATAAAATAGGGAAGAGGGGCAGTTGAAACTTCTCTATTGCATCCACTTCGCGCGGCAGCGGGATAGATTGATGGGATGACTACGAGCTTCCTTGCGGCTATCTCCGGCAGTTTGTTGGTTTTTAAGGTATAGATATAGACGTTTATCGAAGCCACATTTTTGTACGAATTTTGTTGTGGGACAAATTAGTATTGCCAATGACACCAACGTCAAATTCAACTGAAGAAATCTTAATTGATACAAGCGCGTTTTATTTTTATCTGGCATACGTTTGCATCCGGTTATTATTTATTATTTTTAATAGAAAACACTGCGAAATCAATCTCCGAATTTCGGAGAATTGGAGATATATGAAAAATAAACTCCGATAAAAACCGAATTTTCGCTAAAAAATAAACTCCGAAAAACACCCTCCGAATTCCACGAAAAATAAACTCCGAAAACACGGAGCCCTAATTATAAAGCATGACGATGAATCGTATTACGGGGTCCCAGTAAATGTTATTGCCTGATTGAAGTTCCTTTGTCAAGACGACACCGCTTTCTTGCGCGACACCAAAACATTTCTTGCACGCATCTAGAGATAAAAAAGAAGTGCTTGTCTTTTGAGTAATGAAAGTCTAACGCAGTTTAATTACTATTTGATTCGTGTAGACTAGAACGAAGCGAAAGACTCTTTTTCATTCTCACTCTTCCCACGCACGCAGTCACTACTCGGCGGATGAGGCACAGCCGCCCAGTTTCCACTTCCACTGAGGCAGCGCGCTTTCCTTTCGCGCTCCCCGAACCGACCGAACCGCCCGAACGCCCGAGCTTGCCCGAACTCGCAAACTCCCATACCATTTGCAAGCGCTGACGCCGATGACGTATCACCCCGAGCGCGTGACGTCATCGCAGCCGCTAGACCACTCAAAGCGGCTCGCTCCGCCGCCGCGACGCTTTCAGGAGGGGCTCCAACTCGAAAACACACAAAAACTTTCATATAAGTTACTTTAATCTATCAATAATCAAACGCATAACGTTTAACATCGGTGAAATTACACTTTAGAGCAGTTTGAAGCTCGTTTTTATCGCGAAGACAGTGATAAAACGGCGAGGAATTGACGCGCTACTTTTCGGAGCGGAGGAAGTAGCGCGTCCTCCTCGCCTCTCCGTCGGCCCGCAAGCGCCGCGCAACAGGCGCTGTCCCGCCAGACGGGAGTGAACTTGCCTGTCGGGTAGGCGGTGGCTGCAGCACATCGAGTGTGAGCGTGCATGTGTGTTGTTGTTCTTTTTGTTGTGTGAGAGTGTGTGTCGTTAACTAGCCAGAGCCGCCGCCATTGTCCCCGCGTCCTGTTCGGGCAGTCGACGGATCCACCGCCTCGGCTTCCCAGGATTACTGCCGCCAAGATGTCCTCGCCTTCGCAGCCCAACATCGCGGCCGCCGCTGCCGCGGCCGCGGCCAACAGTCGCGGGGACTTGATCGAACAGAAGGGCCCCAACCACATCGTGCGCATTCGGAGTGACAGTGACATAAACTTGGACGACCTCTTCAAGGCGGTCATGCAGCCTAGCAACAGGGTGCCTCTGAGCGTTCCGATGCGGCTACGTAACCTGCCGGCCTCGTTCTTCCAGCAACCCGAACGCTCCAAGTCCGCTTCGCACAGCCGCGAATCGAGCAACGACGCTACTTTCTCTCCGTCGAGCGAAGCGACAGCCGCCGTGGTTGCTGCCGCGGCGGCCGTGCCGTCGCTGCCCGTGAACCACCCGAGGGCCCACTCGTCGCCTGCCTCGCTTCAGCAGAGCTACAACGCGCCAAGCCCGCAGCACTTGCGCCAGCAGAGCTACGACCTAGCAGACGAAGGATCCCTGCCCCCGGGGTGGGAGATGGCCAAGACGTCGACCGGCCAGCGCTACTTCCTCAAGTGAGTGACTCTTCGGGCCTGTCTTCGTTCGGGTTCAGTCGTCGGTTGTCTCGGTGTCGAACCGCGCGCGTCGGATGGGTGTGCGCGGAGCTGAGTCTCATGAGTGATCATGGCTCGCCTGTTCCGCTAGCGATACTCGTCACTGTCCAGCACACGTACCCGACAGTCGCAGACGCATCCTTTTCGTTGTGCATTTTATTTACTCGCAGTTACCGTCTACTCCAGCGAACATCCTGTCCGCTTGGAGTTGTGCGATCGACGAGTTCCAAACGATCGCGAGCTCGATGCCCGAGCAATCGTAACGTCACGTTTTCCTTCGTTTGGACTATTTTGCAGAGTCATCGCGACTGCTAGCTGTTTACAGCCGCTGTCATAGTGAGAAGTTGGCCCGCACTGAGAGTCTTGCGTGAATGAGGGTCGGTTGCGACGAAAGCGTACGTCGTCGAGCAGCCACAAGCGACGCGAGCACTTGTTCCCATTTCCGTCGAGCTATCAGCTGTTCGCGAATAGCACATCGGCGGCGCGGCGCTCCGATCGGCGTATTGATGCCGGCGTTTCTGACAGAGACGGAGGCGAAGCGTATCACGCGCGCTGGAGGGATCGCGGACGTGGGGAGCTCCGAGTTTAGTGTTGATGAACGCTGCTGTGTCGGCCTCGGTGCGAGGTTCAACTGGTTCAACCCGAAAGCAGCGCGCCATGCAAAGCTGTTGGGGTTGACGCTCCGCTCTTTCTCTTTATCCGACGGCCTCGGGCGGCGCTTTGACGCGCGCGCGGCCCGTGTGAACGGAGAACGACGCGGGTTGGGGCGTGCTGCGCACTTCGCTCGCTCCCGCGGAAGAATACAAATGCTTGTAGGGCCGCCGTCAGCTACAGGTTTTGAACCAGGCTGGTAACTCGAGCTTGCTTGAGGGCTTCGAATTTTCGAAGGCTGCTTGCAGTACTGTCGAAGACGCAGGCACAAGTTTATGAACATGATTGTAAACCTGAGACTAGGGCAGAAAAGAGAACACAACAGAAGGTAGTAAAAGAGGAGGCAACGTCTCAATGTAAGTTGAGACGTTGCCTCCTCTTTTTCTACCTTCTGTTGTGTTCTCTTTTCTGCCCCAGTTGAGACGTTGCCTCCTCTTTTACTACCTTCTGTTGTGTTCTCTTTTCTGCCCCAGTTGAGACGTTGCCTCCTCTTTTACTACCTTCTGTTGTGTTCTCTTTTCTGCCCCAGTCTCAGGTTTACAATCATGTTCAACTTACACCAGCTCGCCTGCACTATGACTATTTTTTTAAGTTTATGAAGGTTGCAGGGTCATTTGTTTGCACGAGTTCGCGTTCCGTTTAGTTGATTCCTGACGTACGAATCGTTTACGTACTCGCAGCTTGACATCTATAAGTTCAGGAGCCTAAACTGGGGAATGGGCTTGCACACGCATTTTCTGGACGCTAAACGTCCGCACTTACGCATTCCGTGACAGTGTTTCCGAGTTATTTTGCCACTCGCGCTGTAGCAAAGAAAAGTGAAGCTGCAAGGGGAGATCGGTGGCCGACTGGGCTAACCCACACCAGCACGTGGTGCGAAAGCTCGCGCTGCGGAACCCAAGGATCCTGGGTTCAATCCCCACCCCTGTCCGTTTCGATCTGGAGGAGGAGGAAGTAACTTTATTGAAAGGAAAGAGACTTGACCCTAGTCTTGGGCTTTAGTGTTTTCCGCCGCCAGTTTCGCCTACTCAACCAACTTTCGCTAGCTTTCTACAGACGAGCGGAGCAGCGAGATGGATGAGCATCGTACCGGCGTGCGGTCGCGTATCACTACTGCATCACGCACGTTAAAGACCCCAGGCTAGCGGTCTTAGTCGCTCGTCGAGGCACGCCAAGTTCAGGCTATATAAACATACACCCACATTTTTTTTTATATTGGAAGCTGCTTTGAGCGTCCTGAAGGGCTTCAGGTGTAACTGTTCGATTTCATCCCTAGAGCGTCCTCTGAATCATCGACTTTGTTAAAGACGATGGATTAATTGGGAGGCCGTGGGCAACCTCGTCAGCGTGTGGACGCAGCGCAGTCTTGTCTCCGCACTCAAATTCTTTCGAGCTTCAGACCCCCGTCTGTAGCGTGGAAAATTCCGGTCATAGTACAAGTTTGTTGCTCGTTAAAAAAAAAAACTCCGGATATAGTCATAAGTCGGTTAAAGTCACTCCTTGTCCCATGATGATTCTGGCCCTCTTGCCATCGCAGTCGTGAGTCGTGCACCGAGTGAAAGTTGGGTGCATGCAGTCTTGTCGGGTCGCACTCGGGGTTATCTGTGCCGCATCCCCCAAAACACTGCTCCTCCGATTGTCGAAGTCGTCTTCACAGTCTTGACTTCGATCATATGACCTATGGGAGAAGGACAATCTTCGCTTCGAGCGGTTGTCTTGGACTCTGCGACTCTGTTGGATGTAGATATGGGCCCTCAGCAACAACGGAACTCTGCTGGTGGGATGTTCACACTGTCTGCGGGACTCTGGTACAGCTGCGGACAACAGATAACTGGGTGCATGGACGCTCAAACTTTGACCCGCTCACTGGCTGATTGGTTGACGTCGCCACGAGCAGCCCACGTGACTGGGACCTCTGGTTCTCGCGCTGTAAAAGCTTGGTCTGCTGGGCAAGTTGGTAGTGGACATTCATATTAAAAATAGCGCAAAAGAGACGGGACAAAAAGACGAAGAAGCACACAGGACAAACGCTAACTGGCAACTAAACTTTATTGAAAGCTTCCAACTTTGCTATCGCCATGCACGTGCTTAGTCTCGTTCAACAGACAGGGCGTACCGCCAAATCCGCACAATCATACCGCCCACCGCCCGTTCCAAAAAATCAGCAAAACAGCTACATCACCCCGCCGCACAATCCGAACGAGAAAAGAATAGAAAAAACGCCGCGTTAATATTGTCAAGTTAGATAGTGTTAATGAAATGGTACTCTTTCTGCTGCATATACACCGATGCGACGCTTATGCAAACGTCTTTGCCACAATCACGTATTTTCACTGCCTCCAGCAACTCTCGTTCCCTCCTTCCTTTGTTTCGTCCCTCCACCTTCGCACCGTCCAGCTTGGGGGAACAACCACAAGTTCCCCCAAGCTGGACGGTGCGAAGGTGGAGGGACGAAACAAAGGAAGGAGGGAACGAGAGTTGCTGGAGGCAGTGAAAATACGTGATTGTGGCAAAGACGTTTGCATAAGCGTCGCATCGGTGTATATGCAGCAGAAAGAGTACCATTTCATTAACACTATCTAACTTGACAATATTAACGCGGCGTTTTTTCTATTCTTTTCTCGTTCGGATTGTGCGGCGGGGTGATGTAGCTGTTTTGCTGATTTTTTGGAACGGGCGGTGGGCGGTATGATTGTGCGGATTTGGCGGTACGCCCTGTCTGTTGAACGAGACTAAGCACGTGCATGGCGATAGCAAAGTTGGAAGCTTTCAATAAAGTTTAGTTGCCAGTTAGCGTTTGTCCTGTGTGCTTCTTCGTCTTTTGGTCCCGTCTCTTTTGCGCTATTTTTAATATGAATATTCTCGCGCTGAATTGGGAAACTGCTTTTAAAGTCGTCGAAGGGGGGTTTGTGACTAATCGTAGTCGGTTGCTGTATAAAGAGCCGCTCACACTTGCAACCGAGTAGGATGGAGATAGACAAGGCAGGTTTTTAAGCCTCTTGCGGCGGCGTAGGACCTGCTCCGCAGCACCGCATTCGGTCCTCCGCCGTCGCAAGAGGCTTAAAAGTCGGTCTTGTATTTCTCGGTCTTACTGGTTGCAAGTGTATGAACGGCGCTTCACTTAATGCATAAAGGCCTAATGCGCATTCGGCACTTCTACTGAACCTTCTTAATCATATCTTTAAATTAAAAAAAAAAAAAAAAGCATCGCAAATTGATTTTTTTTTTTTTTAAGGACTTTATAAAGACGTTGCGTTCGTCCGTCGTACTGGCGGAGTAGTGTTCCATATCTCCGGGAACATGTTGCCACTGACGATAAATCTGCACGCAGTTCACAAGCAACTACCCGTCTGCCCGCGTCATGTCTGGGCACTGAGCGTGGGCAGAAATGAGATTTGCTCCTTGCAAAGACTGGATGGATGGATTATAACGGGCGCTAGCTTGCGCCGTCTACCCTAAAACAATAACAAAAAAACAACCTGGTTTCCTCTTTCAAGCCAATGCGTTTCTCTAACCATCACCTGGCCATGAAGATGGTCGCCAGGCAAACCTTTGGGAAATCAGCAAAAAAAGAAAGAAAAGAAAATCTTAAAACATTATATCCCCCCCCCCCCCCCCCCCCCCCCCCCCCCCCCCGAGGGAGTCGCCATTTTTGCCCTGGTCGAACCTTGTCGGCGTCACCTTACAACAGACCCACTGGGGGACAGGGTTGAGACTTAGGGCCGGAGCCACGCGGGAGAGAGTCCCAACTTTCGTCTGTCCCGCCTGTCTTTTCCAGCTACGCTAGTTAGTTGTACTTCGTTAATTTTCCCTGGACAGTTTCCACGAACACTGGACAGACGTACCGAGGGCCATCCGTAGGTCTGTCGCCTCTTGGGGAAGGGCAAGGCGGCATGATGTCAGGGTTGCGAACCGCGTCGTTACCGACCCTGCTTCAGTTCGTTTTGGTAACGCTTTCGAGTGACTCGGTCGGAGGACAGGCTCGGTTCTCGCCGTGAGGCGTCCGCCGCTCGCGTTTTCCCACGACAGTGGCCGCTGCCCGGCCGTCCTTGGTCGTCGGAGTATTGTGTTCGTCATTCGGCCCATTCGAATGCAAACGGTGTCATTGTCTCGCCCGCGTGCTGCATGCGACAGTGGGGTCCCCGAGCGTGGCGCCTGATTTGCCCGTATTGTCCGACTCGCTTCTGGCCATGAGGCAGAAGTGGTGCAGATACGGAACAAAACAAAAGACTCCGGGCCACTCTATAAAATACGAGCGGGCCGGCTCGCTTCTAGTCACGACCGAAAAATCTCGTACACTTCCCCTCTGG